AATTAATTTGTATTTTTGAATTACATATGTAGTAGCTACTTACAAGAAGTTTAATTATAAAAGAAAGTGGTAGGTCGTCCTTTGCGTTTGCACCAGTCTGCCAATAAATCACATACTTAACAATTTTCTTAAATTTAATATTTAACAAACTACTTACTTATAAAATATTGTGATTGAAGAAAAATTGTCAACAAAACTAAAATTTTTTCTTGTGCTGACAAATTACTACAAGCCTCTTTCTATTATATTTTTTTGTTTTATCGGTTACGAGCTTTTCTCTAACTTTTTGGCGAGAATCCCTCGTAAAACATAATGTTCGTAAAATCTACGTTTTCTTGCTGGCTGGGTATTTCGGTCCTCGTTCATATGATACCAAATTTGTTTAATTTGGATACGCAGTTTGTTTATTATCCGGAAAGGACGTTTATTTCGGAATAAAAAATATAAGGCCAAATTTAACTCGTAAAAAAAATAACTGTTATTTTCGGTCCCTAGAATATTATGCAAGTGCACTGATAACACGTTTATCTGACCAGTCATAGAAGAAAGCATTAAAAAAATGAGTTACAAAAACTAAAATCGAAAAACGCTGATGAAGTGACAGGTTCTCCTAATTCCGAAACAACCAAAAGAATGAGAATGCAGAATTCTTTGGAAAACAACGGTGTTTAAACAACGATCGTGCCATGATGAAGGATTGTGAAGATGGAAGTCAGGAGGATACATCCGACATTTGCGGCCCCGATGAAATTCTCAGAAAGTAATTATTGCACGGCAATAAAAATAAATAAATATAACTGAAAGTTGTTGTTGTAGCGGCTACAACAACCCCGCCCAGATCGGCTGATATCTTAGTCGTTGTCTTCGAGTTCCACTAACGGCAGCCCCAAGAAGCGTGCAGCCTCTATGGGGTCGGTCCATAGGGACGACGCCGTTAGGGTTGTGGGGTTTTCCGGGCATGCGAAGAGATGTTTCGAGTCGTAAGGCGTCTCTCCGCATGCCGGACATTCGTTCGGCACATCCGCATTTAACCTATTCAAGTAGGAATTTAGGCTGCTGCAGTAGCCAGAGCGAAGTTGGGCTATTGTTGTCCTGGTCTCCCGAGGCAGATGGAGCTCCGTCGCGTCAATGTCCGGTGTTTGTGTGCCTAGAACGGCATTCACAGGTCTTGAGTCTACATAACTCGAGACTGCGTCTCTGTGAATGCCGTTCAGGTTGCTTAATGAACCTCTGGACTTCGTCCGTCAGTTCATATAGATGCCTCCTGACGTGCCTCGGCGAGGGCTCCTCTGCAAGCAGCTGTCTATTTGGGTGGCCACATCTGTGGCTCCCAGCAAGAAACTGCTTACAGAGCATCGTGTTGTGCTCCCTAATTGGGAGCATTTTCACCTCATCGTGGAGGTGGTGTTCTGGTGACATCAGGAGGCATCCGGTAGATGTCCTAAGTGCTGTATTTTGTACCGTCTGTAGCTTCGTCCACTGCGTCCTACTAGTCCACGGCGACCACACTGGTGCAGCGTAGTTTAAAACCGGCCGGCCTACTGAAAGTCCTCTCAACTGGTGCAGTGTCAATCGAAATGAATTTACAATTTTGTCAAGTTTCAAGTTTTTCAAGTTTGTCGCCTAGAGCGAGTAGTTATAAAGTGGCGCAGGTTTGATTAACGACCCTTTAAAAAGTTTTTATTAAATACAATGTTCCAATTTTTAAATTCAAGTACTAAAAAAAACATTTGTCTTATCATGAGTTTCATTTTCCGGGCCGGTTCACTTTTCACTTTTGGTGTTCATGTATTTACTTTGGGCGGAATACAAGTTTTCGGGCGAAACTCAGGATAAGGCAGATTATTAAAAATTACTAACCTTTCCATTTTTTATTTACCTAAGTCACCTAATTTAACCCCTTAAACTATTTCTTAAACATACATGACATCCGCATTCGAATTCGCATCCGCGGATGTTACCTTTTAAACATCCGCATCCGCATTCGCATCCGCGGATGTCTAAAATTCCTCATCCGCAACATCCCTAATACTCATTTGTTGCAACTGGTTTTGATATTCGTAGATGGTTTTAGGCATAGGTTTAGTAGTCTATTTGGTGAAAAATGCAAGGCGAAAGTTTAAAAAAATACCGAAATCATTTTAACTGGGACCGTTGATAACTGATGAACATACATGAATATTTGTATGTATAATATACATATCAGAGCTATTGATCCAATACTTTTCGTGTAAAATCCTGGAAAAAGGTCAAACAGCAAAATCACTCTCTGAAGAATAAAAAATGAGTAACAGCAAAACGTCCGGAACAAAAAAGCATCGGGTAAAATCTTGCAACTTCAATCTCTAAACAACTCTGCAAAAATCGCTCTCATTTACATGAACCACAGATTATATATAGGCGGCCAATAAAGTCTGTGGTACGCGGTGGCTCTTATGCATAGCTGTATCCTTACATCTATTGCGTGTATTGCAAAAAAAGAAGAAAATTATTAAAAAATATTAGAAAATATTATACTTATGTATATGTTTAGCTTTCCTTTGTTTTATTTTTCCAACGTTAAAAGCTAGATCTTTTTTTGAAAAAGTTGGTACAACAAAAAATACGAAACACGTTTTCTGTCAGATAGCTAACAAGGCGGATAGAAGAAGTGAAACTAAGTACCTTCTAAAAATTATTGTATCATGAGTTAAAACTGTATATTTAGCACAGAGAAATTTTAGTTTAACTGACACTTGACAGTCGATAATGCGGTTAGCTATTAGGGTAGCTCTTAATTAGTATATTTAAGGCGTAGGCCTAAACAAGCTAAAAATCTGCATAAAATTATTTAAATAAATTTCAACGGGATGATAATAATGAGATTTTTCATGCGTTTTAACTTTTTTCAAAATCTGGTTTAAGAAAAACTTTAATAACAGGACCAAACCTACACCGATTTAGACTTATGAGGTATCAGTGGAAAAGTATTTTCTCACCTTTTTTATTTATTTGCAAAAAAATCATACACTTCCCAATTTTTATTTTTTTAAATATCAACACATCTTAATTAAAGTTGGAATGACACTCGTCATAATTATGCAAAGATATAAAAACAGTGGTAAAAAACCTTTCCAATTATACCTTACAAGTCCAAATCGGTGAAGTTTTGACTTAGTTATTTAAGTTTTTCTTAAACCAATCTCCGAAAAAGTTCAAAAACAGCATCAAGAATCTCACTTTAGGATCCTGTTGATTTTTTTTTAAGTTTAATACAATTTTTTTAGGTTTAAACTGTTTTTCCATCTGAGGCGATTTTTTTTCAAAAAATACTTAAAAAAAAATTATTGTATTCATGAAAAATTCAAGGAGGTGGTGCAGGTCTTAAAATATAATAGATTTTATAATTCCAATGGAAAAACAGTAGTGGAGTGATGCAATCTAATGTACATTTGTATACAAGTATACTTACTTACGATTCAGTTTCTCCAAAAACCTCTAAAATTGAGGAAATATATTGCCTTAAACAAACAAATTGTACTTCGGGAAGATTTTATTCTTTCACGTCACAAGCTTCTAACCACTTATTTCTAATAAACGAGAAACACTCCGGAATCCTCGCACAAATTTATAAGATTCCTACCAAGGCGATTTCATATAAGGTGGTAGCGGTAGAACAAAAAGAAAAACTAACATGTATTTTGTTTCCGCTTTCGGTACACAAATGTCAAATTTCAGCTATTTTTCGCTCAAGGAGGAAGAGAGAAAGAGAATGCCTACACTCTTCCTTTCGCACTCCCTCATAAGGAGTTTTGACATATGTCTACCGAGGCGAATTAAAGCAGATGTTCTAGCAACACCACCTTATATGAAATCGCCTTGATTCCTACAGCCTTCAATTCATTTTTTATTATATTAAAATGACTGATTTTTCCTTTTAAAATCTGTCGTTTGATTTTTTTTCAAAGGCAGTTGAAAAATATTTTTTTTTGTAGCCGGTAGTTTGCTTTTGATAGAGATGTCATAATGCCAGCAAAAGTCAAATGGCTAACATGGCGGCCAAAATCATTGAGTGAAAGTACCTTCTTTTTTGTATCATGATCAGTGCTGCCGTTTGCTAATTTTCGAGCGAAGTGAAAACACACTAAGGGCCTGTGCCAAATGATAGAAAAGAGAAAATTTTGACGGATCAAATCTGACATTTCTCGTGGTGAATAAGAACGTCAGAATTTTACCTAGCTCATGGGGCTAGGTAAAATTTTGACAGCTTATAACCATGTATACACATAATATTGCTTGGCGGTAATAAGGAGTGAACATGAAAATGAAAGCTGAAACAGCATAAAAAAGCGTACGTTACTTGCAAATTATAAAATAAATATAAATTTTAAGAATTTCAGCAACACACAAAAATAAAGCTTTCGCACGAGCGTTTGTTTGGTTTTTCAACTGTCAAAATTTTACTTTGCCTTTGGCACAGCAAAATTCAATTTATTTGTACACCATAGCAAATTTTTCCACCCCGTGTCACCACGGAGAAAAAAGTTACCGATTGGCACAGGCCCTAAAAGTGAAGTGTTTCGGACTGACTTCGGAGGAAAAGTGAAGTGATTATCGAAGTGACGACTTTCAAGCACAATTAGGGGTGCAAGGTTTTTCGATTAAGTTATTTATCACCTGATTGGTTAATCGATTTTTTTTCACAATAAAAATACAGGCCTGTTCTGAAATCCTATTTGTATCGGAAGCGGAATTAAATCTGATCCTATTTGCAGAATCGTACTATGTAATCCTATCGAATTTAAATTATCGGAATCAATGTTCGAATCTGATTGTTCACCGTGCTTGGTGTTCTGTATTTTGACTTATCGGAAATTTCTGTTTGAATAAATCCGTCGAAGTTTTGGTCCGCGGAATTAATACGTTTTTTTTGAAGTTCTTGTTTTATGAACCAAATAGAATTAGGAAAGCGTGATCTTCATATTTTTTATAAATTATTCCGAATTTATATATGTATAAAGGGGAAAACCCAAGAATGCGGCTCAAATCGCAACGTTGCTGGAATTCATGGAGAGCAATCCAGACATAGCCCAAGGCCATACAAAGGGTGACCGGGTAAGAGTTGGCTAATATTTTAAATAGTCAAGGTCCAAGTAAGGATGAAAAAAAGGTAAAGTTTTGCGAATTTTAAAAGGACTTCCGATATTGAAACTCTGTATGACATTCACTGACTGGAAGTGTGAGGTTCGGGAGAAACTGGCGCACAACCTAAAGAATCTTCCGCAACTGGTGGTGGAGCATTTAATAGGTATACCCTCACAGAAGCTGAAGAAACTCTTGCTCGCATAACGGGCATGTATACAGTGGTGCAGGGTATACCTGAAACAACATCATTTGGGGTGGATGAGACGGTTGACCTCCAGGTGGAAGTGCTCGATCTAACCAAGGAAGAAATGATGCCCTCAACATCTACGGCCTCTAAACGACCACATAATGATGTAATTCAGGCGTCAACACCTAAAAAGAAAAAAGAAATGTCGTTGCAGGTAAAACTTAATTGAGATTATTCAGACGGTATTCAGCAATAAATCTGCAATGAAGATTAAATTATTAGTAATTTATACAGTTTTCATTCATAAATCTTACAATGAATCTGAGAGACTTAGTGGATTGCTGTGGTCACGCAAAATTCTTCTTCTTCTTCTTATTTGGCACTACAACCGTTTATCGGTTTGGGCCGAGACCAAAAAGCTTTTCCAATTGCTTCTCTCCTGCGCGAATTTGCGCCAGTTGGTTATCCCGAGCGCAGACAGGTCCTTCTGCACTTGGTCCTTCCATTGCGTTCGTGGGCGGCCTTGCCTTCGTTGTCCACCCATGGGTGCGGAGTCGAAGGATCTTTTCACCGGAGAGTCGTCATCCATGCGTACAACATGTCCAAGCCAACGCAATCGCTGTATTTTGATGCGCTTAACTATGTCCATGTCGTTAAAAAGCTCATACAGTTCGTCATTCCATATTCTTTGATATCCGCCATCCACGAAAACAGGGCCGTAGATTTTGCGAAGAATAGTTCTCTCGAAAGCCCCCAAAGCCTTCTCATCTTTGTTCGACATCGCCCAGGATTCTGCGCCATATAAAAGGACGGGCATGATGAGAGATTTGTAGAGCGTGAGTTTCGTCGAGAGAGGGCTCTGCTTTTCAATTGCCTACCGAGCCAAAAGGAGCACCTGTTGGCAAGAGTTATTCTTCGCTTGATCTCCAGGCTGACGTTGTTGGTGGTGTTTATGCTGGATCCTAGGTAGACAAAGTCCTTCACTACTTCAAAGTTATATCTGCCAACAGTGACGTGTGTCCCGTAGCACGTGGACTCTTTATATGTTGCCAGGAGGTACTTTGTCTTTCCCTCGTTCACCGCTAGACCAACCTCTTTTGCTTCTTTTTCTTAAACTGGAAAATGCTGCGGTTACGTCCCTTTGTTTCAGACCTACGATATCAATATCATCTGCATACGCCAGCAGCATCGTTCTTTTGCTATATATGGTGCCGCTGCGATTCAGATTGGCAGCTCTTATTACGCTTTCCAGCATCAGATTGAAAAAGTCGCACGAGAGTGAATCGCCTTGTCTAAAACCTCGTTTGGTCTCAAACGGCGCGGAGAGGTCCTTCCCAATTTGGACGGAGCTGAAGGTTGTGCTCAACGTCACTCTACATAGCCGTATTAGTTTTGCGGGGATCCCAAATTTGGACATGGCGTCGTACAGGCAGCTCCTCTTCGTGCTATCAAAAGCAGCTTTAAAGTCAACAAAAAGATGGTGTGTGTCGATTTGCTTATCTAGTGTCTTCTCCAGGATTTGACGTGCTGTGAAAATCTGGTCAATGGTGGACTTACCAGGTCTGAAGCCACACTGATAAGGTCCAATCAGCTGGTTCGTGAACGGCTTCAGTCTTTCACACAGTATCGTCGACAGGACCTTGTATGCAATATTAAGAAGGCTTATTCCGCGATAACTGGCGCAAACGGCGGGATCTCCCTTCTTGTGGATTAGGCAAAGTACACTGAGATTCCATTCTTCGGGCATGTATTCATCAGACCAAATTCTGATTAAAAGCTGATACATACGCCCCACCAACTCTTCGCCACCGGCTTTGAACAGCTCAGCCGGTATACCGTCGGCTCCGGGGGCTTTGTTGTTCTTAAGCCGCTTTATTGCTGTTCTCACCTCGTCTTGGTCCAGTTGAGGGACGTGAGCTTCGTCCGTATACATTGGTTCGGGTTCTCCTTCATCAAACGCGCCATCTGTTTCGCCATTTAAAAGCAATGAAAAGTGATCCCTCCATATCTCAAGTGTACTATGGACATCTGTTACCAGGTTTTCATCTTCATCTTTGCAGGAGCTAGCCCCGGTCTTAAAACCATTTGATTGCTGCCTTATTTTCTGATAGAATTTTCGAGCCGCGTTCCTGTCTGCCAGCATCTCAAGCTCTTCGCACTCACGCCTTTCTGCCTCTCTTTTCTTTCTCTTGAAAAGGCGTATCTCTTCCCTCCTTTTCTCCCGGAAACGCTCAATTGTCGCGCGTGTCGCCATTGGCTGAAGGGTAGCTTTGTATGCTGCGTATTTTTCTGCAGCAGCCGCGCGGCACTCTTCGTCGTACCAGTTGTTTCTGCGCGGTTTGTAGTAACCAACAACCTCTTCCGCAGTGGTACGAAGATATTGGGATATAGAGTCCCACTGCTCATTTATGTCCAGGCGATGAGGAGTTGCTTGATTAAGCAGGATTGAGAGTCGGTTGCTAAACTTTTCGGCTGTCCGTTGTGACTGCAGCTTTGCGATGTCGAACTTTCGTCGCGTTGCCTGCCGCATGTTTTTTATTGCACAGAGGTGCATGCGGACCTCAGCTGCAACAAGGTAGTGATCCGAGTCGATGTTGGCACCTCGGATAGAGCGCAAGTCAAGAACGCTCGAAGCGTATCTTCTATCTATCACAACATGATCAATTTGGTTCTTAATAAAAGCCTTTTACAAATTAAAAAAGTACAACGAGACTCAAATGTAAACAATAACCGCAACAAACCAACTGAATTTTGACAGTTCGAATAGTATCTTGTTCGAATTTCTCAATTTCGATAGGATTGCCGAACACCTTTTTGATTCCGAGTCGAAAATCCAAATCGATGCGAAATCAATTCCGATCGGACTTCAGAACAGGCCTGATAATCTTTAACGTTTACTAATTTATAATTTATTGTGTTCCTGTGCAAATTTAGTGCAACAATTAGTGCAAATTTAGTGTAACATCACAATGTCTCAAACGTTGACGAAAGAAAATAAAAAATTACAAAATTATTAACACTAAAATATATTTAATCGATTATCAAATCACAGCACCAAAGTCATCACCAGATACACAGCAACAACTTCATCACAAGATTCACTGTTGTTGCGGTTTACTCCAAAACGAGTGCTGATACAGGTATACCAAAGCTGATGTGCGGGTTGCTTTTCGAATTAAAGAAACGCGGTTCCAAATATAAATTCTATTTATTTACTAATATTTTGTATAAATTTCTTCGATAAATATGCGGGCGAACTTGCGATCAGTTGAGTCGAGAGAGAGCGAATGAAAAAACCAAAAACGAAAAAAGAGAATAGCAAAATGTCAAAAAGACGATTGCTTGTTAACCCTTGGTATGGTGCATGAGTATTAACCCTCACATATTACAATATCGAATACCTACTTAAAAAATACAAAGTCGAACCCAACATGCCGCCGCCCTTGAACTATCTACATATGATATGTTCAAATTATGTTTACAATGAAATGTTGGTCAAAACATATTAAGTGTGAAAAAAATCTTTAACAAAATTTGGTCTTGTCTTTATCTTCGCAAAATAAATCCCCTTTCGTAGGAAGAAGGCACAATTTAGCTATTGGCCGGATGTATTCTCCATTAGATGTCTTCACGGTTACGACTCGCACGTGACCATCAGCTCCAGGGTGGCATCGAATGACCCTTGCGAGTATCTACTTTGTCGGGGGAGTAGGCTCGACGTTGAAGACAGCTACAACATCTCCTTCTGCGAAGTTGCGTGACGGTCGAAACCACTTGGTTCGACGTTGCAAACTGAAGAGATACTCGTCTCTCCAACGACGCCAGAAGCGCCGTCTTATTGCAGAGATTAACCGTCATCGCTGGTGGAGATTTCCACAGAACCCTTGACCCTCAGGCTCTGTGATCGACCTAAGCGGTTCACCGACGATAAAGTGCCCTGGTGTCAGAGCTTCGAGGTCGACTGCACTTGTAGTGCCCTCATATAATGGGCGAGAGTTCACGCAGGCTTCCACTTTTGTCAATAAAGTGCTGAATTCTTCGTACGACAGCAGAGTTTCGCCCAAAATGCGTTTGAGGTGGTACTTGATTCGTTTGATACCGGTTTCCCAGGATTGCAGGATTTTACCCGATGCTTTTTT